GTGTGGGGGCCATTCAATGGTATCAATTCCTTCATCCTCCAGGAACTGCCTGCATACTCTCCCCACATGAGGCCAGGCATTGTCTGCACCAGGAGGAACCCAGGACCCACTGCACCAGTGTAGGGTCTGACAATGGGTCCAAGGATTTCATCCCCATACCTAATGGCAGTCAGGGTGCCATTGTCTAGCCTGTAGAGTTCTGTGCATCCCTCCATGGATATGCCTCCCCAGACCATCACTGACCCACCACCAAAACGCTCATGCTGAATGATGTTACAGGCAGCAGAACGTTCTCCATGGCTTCTCTAGACCCTTTCACGTCTGTCACATGTGCTCAGGGGGAACCTGCTCTCATCTGTGAAAAGCACAGGGTGCCAGTGGTGGACCTGCCAATTCTGGTGTTCAATGGCAAAAGCCAATCGAGCTCTATGCTGGGTCGTGAGCACAGGGCCCACTAGAGGATGTCAGACCATCAGGCCACCCTCATGAAGTCTGTTTCTGGTTGTTTAGTCAGAGACATTCACACCAGTGGCCAACTGGAGGTCATTTTGTAGGGCTCTGGCAGGGCTCATCCTGTTTCTCCTTGAACAAAGGAGCAGATACCGGTCCTGCTGATGGGTTAAGGACCTTCTACAGCCCTGTCCAGCTCTTCTAGAGTAACTGCCTGTCTCCTGGAATCTCCTCCATGCTCTTGAGACTGTGCTGGGAGACACAGCAAACCTGCTGGGAATGGCATATATTGATTTGCCATCCTGGAGGAGTTGGACTGCCTGTGCAACCTCTATAGGGTCCAGGTATGGCCTCATGCTACCAGTAGTGACACTGACCCTAGCCAAATGCAAAACTAGTGAAAAACAGTCAAAAAAAAAAAAAGTAGGAAAAAAAATTTCAGTGGCCTCCACCTGTAAAACCATTCCTGTTTTGGGGGTCGTCTCATTGTTGCCCATCTAGTGCACCTGTTGTTAATTTCATGAACACCAAAGCAGCTGAAACTGAATAACAACCCCCTCTGCTACTTACCTGATCAGATCAGTATCCCGGGAGTTTCATTGACTTGATGCTAGACTCTGATTACAAAGTGTTTCTTTCATGTTTTTGAGCCGTGTAGAAACGTTGACTGCAAGGGTAGCAAGGAGTTATATAAGTAAAATTGCTTTTTAATGGCACCCTAGACAAAAACAAGCACTTTTAACCCTTACAGTGTCTGAGGAGCACCACTACAAGGGAATTTTTTTTTTTTTATTTCTCCAGAGTTTACCTTTAAGGTCACTTTTTCATAGACGTGTAACAATTGTGGGAACTCGCATCAAGTGGTAGAGCTTTTTTTTTTTTAAAGCACACAGCAACTCGCTTTCTTTTTAAGGGCCGTTTTAGCCCACTTTTATTTAAAGGAAAGTTCCATAACATAAGTTTCCCATGCAGGGTGTTCATCATCAAAACAAATGAAACCATTCAGCCTCCTGGCTCTCTTTATCAGCCCTGCTGATTAGCCGTACCTCTATTTATGTGGGTCTCCCAGACCCCTGGTTAGTCCCAGCACACAGCGTTGGACTCCTCTCCTAGGTAGAGCCCTCCTGACTCCCGGGCAATGACCTTCTGTCTGCCGGGGTGGAGCCCAGAACCCTGGTCCTGACTCTAGAAGAGAGACAAGCAACCTGACCAATCAGTCTCCTGGCCATTCCCAAAACCTGGTCCCAGGATTGGAGATTTCATCCCTCCCAAATCATTTTGAAATCTCCAGGCTCCAAGTTCCAAAATGGACTTTACAAACAAATGAGGAAAGTGAAAAGCCACTTTCCTTGGCATCAAACAAGTACCCTGGAGCCCCTCAACCTGCCTTGTTGAGAATCCCAGGTGAAATATCCTTTTTATATCGTGACAGATCGCCACACAATGTATTGTGTCAAAATGGCAAAAGGTTTCCAAAATCCTTAGATTTTATTCCAAAATTGTGAGGAAATTGAAAACTTCAAAAATTCTCTCACATCTTCTAGGGATCAACTAAGTAAGAGTGACATATGCTTGTTGGCAGGTGCAGTCTGGACTCCCCACTGTAGGGGGCGCTCGACTGAAGAAGCAATGCAGAAGGGTAAAGAAGCTGTGAGGAACTTGGTTGCTCTATGACTTCTGATTGGACGTTGGGGCCTCCTGTGACCTCCATGGCCATCTTGGATGAAGGCAGAGCTTATATAAGCCTGCTCACATGCTGCATGGGGGGTACCCTATAGTTCCATTGCTTCAGCCCCCTTTAAATTCCATGTTTTTTTGGTGCTTGCATCTCCTCCAACTACCTGTTGGTTCCTGGGCCTGTTGGTTGTCCACTCTGACGCTGTCTTGTTAGGGCAGGTTGGAAGGTTGGAGTGTACACATCTGCCCAATACGAAGAAGAACCAATTTTTATTAGGGCTTCATTAGCAATAGAGATAGTGAGTGGCAGTGAAAAACAAACCTTATGTTGACTGCTTTACTTTTTGACAATTAAAGCGGTTGTACCGACACCACTGTGTCCTACCCTACAAGTCTGACTCCTGACTATGGGGACATCTAGTGGCCAAAAAGGGAATTACAATGGGACAGCTCTGTGTCCTACCCTACACTTCTACTCCACACCTCTGCATCCTACTTTACACTTCTACTCCACACCTCTGCGTCCTACTTTACACTTCTACTCCACACCTCTGCGTCCTACTCTACACTTCTGACTCCTAATTATGGGGATATATAGGGGTCAAAAGGGGAATTACAATGGGACGCCTCTTTGTCCTACCCTACTACTCCTGACCATGGGGACATCTATAGGCCAAAAAGGTAATTACAATGGGACACCTCTGTGTCCTACCCTACACTTCTGATTCCTGATGATGGGGAGCATCTAGTGGCCAATAAGGGAATAGCAATGGGACAGCTTTATGTCCTACCCTACACGTTTGACTCCTGACTATGGGGACATCTAGTGGCCAAAAAGAGAGTTACAATGGGACACTCCTGTGTCCTACTCTACACTTCTACCCTACACCTCTGTGTCCTACCCTACACTTCTGACTCCTGACTATGAGAGCATTTAGTGGCCAAAAAGAGAATTTAAATGGGATACCTCTGTATCTTACCCTACACTTCTGATTCCTGACTATTTGGGCATCTAGTGGCCAAAAGGGGCATTGCAATGGGATACCTCTGTGTCCTACTCTACACTTCTACACTACATCTCTGTGCCCTACCCTACACTTCTGACTCCTGTCTATGGGAGCATCTAGTGGCCAAAAAGGGAATTACAGTGGGGCACCTCTCTGTCTTACCCTACACTTCTGGTTCCTGACTATGGGAGCATCTGGTGGCCAATTGCAATGGGACACTTCTGAGTCTTACCCTACACTTTTGACCCCTGACTATGGTGGCATCTAGTGGCCAAAAAGAGAATTACAACGGGACACCCCTGTGTCCTACTCTTCACTTGTACCCTACACCTCTGTGGCCTACCTTACACTTCTGACTCCTGACTATGGGGACATCTAGTGGCCAAAAAGAGAATTAAAATGGGACACCTCTGTGTCTTACCCTACACCTTTGACCCCTGACTATGGTGGCATCTAGTGGCCAGAAAGAGAATTACAACGGGACACATCTGTGTCTTAGTTACACTTCTATATTTTCATTATAGAGGGTTCATGTAACAATTACTTTAGCTGCATTTTACAACACATGAATGTTTTCACTGAATACTGAAATCTAGCAAACCAGCATATGGTCCACTATTGTAATATGCACTGTGCTCTAAGGCTTTATTCTCACTCAGATGTTAAATATACATTAAGGGTCCCTATGGCTCCTTTCTAACTATACTTTGAATATGTTTTTGAAAGGATGGCAAGTAATGACGTTAGCTTGGGAGACATCTGTTGGGAGCCAGAAGAGGTCCAACCTATAACGTAAACAGTTAACTGTCAAGTTAATAAAGAACTGTGTGGATTTAATACCTGTATTTGGCAATTCTCAGAATTCTATGCAAATGATTGAGAGGAATGAATACCTCATTCAGGAATATAGATTCCTCATTAACAAGGAAATGGTGAATAATTGGCTGCAAGTTGAAGCAAATGAGAGTGAGTGGTATCAGGAGACGTCTCCAGCTGTCTGCCAAGGCAAAGTCATCTCTGTTTCATATAAGAAACGTTATTAAAGGGGAACTCCACAGAATTATAGCAGTAACTTGAAAAAACTTTTCATTGTTGCTGGCAGATGTTTACATTCCTTGCTGTTCTATATTTTAGCTAAAGTAGTATTAAACCTTTTATTGTATTTTGGTTTAACACATTGAGGTGATAAAATAAACATTCTCCAGTGAACTATTTTTTTTTTTATTTTTACCCCAGCACTTGCAACTTACAACCTTTAATGCTGCTGGCTTTTGCAGTGCTGCTTGGGGCAGCAGTTATGGTACCATCCTAAACTGGACATAGGCAAGGATTAAGAGATAAAGAAGGTACATACTCCATAAGTAATTAAATCAGTCATTTTTTTTCCCATTCCCATGAATACTTTTTAGCAGCAGTTGTAATAGGTAAGTGCCTGGTGCCCAAGGCAAGCATTGCCATTCACAACTAATTATTATTCATCTCCTTGGTATGAATACTTGGCATGGCCAGACAGCGGTGGGGAGAGGTGGGGTGCCCTGGTGACCATGCTATGCCAGAAACAGATCCACCTAGGAAAACAGGCCGCAATAGCTCAGTTGGAAGCAGGGGTGGACTGACAACTCATGGGGCCCCCGGGCAATAGGGGATCATGGGGCCCCTGTGTCCTTTCCCACACTCAAAGCACACCCAACAAAAGCCTATATAAGGTACCAGGGGCATTTCATGGGGCCCCCTACTGACCCTGGGCCCTCGGGCAGTGACCGAGTGCTCGAATGGTCAGTCCGCCCCTGGTTGGGAGAGCATTAAACTGAAGATCTAAAGATCCCGGGTTTTACATTTTTCTGTCTGAGTGACTCCTCAGTAATCCAATCATGTCTGGTCACAGCAAACAAGAAGGAAAGGTTTGGGCTAAGGCCAAGACCCAATCATCCAGGGCTGGTCTGCAGTTCCCCATCGGTCATGTTCACCGGCTGCTCAGGAAGGGCAACTATGCCGAGCAGGTCGGGGCTATCTGGCCGCCCTCCTGGAATATCTGATGACTGAGATCCTCGAACTGGCCGGCAACGCCGCCCAAGACGACAAGAAGACCCGTATCATCCCCCGACACCTCCAGCTGGCTGTCCATAATGATGAGGAGCTCAAAAAGCCGCTGGGCAGCATCACCATCACCCATGGAGGAGTCCTACCCAACATCCAGGCCGTGCTGCTGCCCAAAAAGAACGATAGCCACAAGGCCGCCAAGAGCAAGTAATCCCCACACATTCCCCTCTATCCCCCAACACAACAGCTCTTAGAAAAAAAAAAAAAGATCCACCTAGGAAGACAGGGCAAAGTTCATTATGCACTTTGCCATCTGGGGGGGGGGGGGGGGCAGGGGACAGGATACAAAAACAAAAACTTTGATGAGATTTCTTCCTTAAATTACAAGGCTTGTGCACCAATGGGCCCATTCTGACAGTGGGTGCTGACATAGTTCCTATGGAGTCTGTTGTGAGCTATTACCCTGATGGACCTGCATAGTTCCTGCACTGACTTCATCAGGGGGTCTTCCTGCTGATTCCAAAAACTGGGGAATTATTTCCCCTGACTCCAGTAAGGAATTGTTACTTCCTCTGATCTCTGAACTGGGGTATTTTCTAAATCCTAGTTACCACTAGAGCTATTTCATTTTTTCCTCCCAGTGACCAGCAATGTAAGGGGATTCTTGTGTTTGTTAGTAAATCTGAGGGTAACGCGTATGGCCGTTTAAAGGAGCTTTGGGGTTTTGGGACATGCCCAACCTGGGAGCATTGTTGGGAAGAAAATAAAAGGAAGATTGTTGGGGCACCTATTTCTGGGAACTCTTATTTCTGTTGGCCTAAAGTCTGTATGCTATTAACATGCAAGGATGCACATCCAACACGTCATCAGAGGATATATGCAACCAAGCGCACCTTTTCTTTTATTCTACAGTGCGCTGAGAAGAAGCTTAAAGAAGGGGCAGGAGGCTTCAGGGACAGGTCTCTGGGGTCTGGTTAACACAGCGTGCAAGGGTGGATATGCACTCTTTAGAGCAGTAGTCTCCAAACTGTGGCCCGGGGGCCGGATGTGGCCCTTTGCTTGCTTTTATCTGGTCCTTGTGACACTATTTAATCCACTGACACCAATGAAACCAACGATGGGGCACAATTCCCACCAATGACACCAATGAAGGGGCTCAGTTCATCTCAATGATACCAAGAATGGGGCCCAGTGACACCAATGATGGGGCACAACTTCTTCCAATGATACCAACAATGGGGCACAATTCCCACCAATGACACCAATGATGGGGCACAGATAATTTCAGTGATAACAAAAATGGTGCCCAATGACACCAATGATGGGGCACAATTTCTCCCAATAATACCAGTGATGGGGCATAATTCCAACCAATGACACCAATGATGGGGCACAATTCATCCCAATGATACCAAGAATGGGGCCCAATGACACCAATGATGGGGTACAACTTCTCCCAATGATACCAATGATGGGGAACAATTCCCACCAATGACACCAATGATGAGGCACAGTTCATCCCAGTGATACCAAGAATGGTTCCCAATGACACCAATGATGGGGCACAATTTTTCCCAATAATACCAGAGATGGGGCATAATACCCACCAATGACACCAATGATGGGGCACAGTTCATCCCAATGATACCAAGAATGGGGCCCAATGACACCATCGATGGGGCACAATTCCTCTCACTAACACCAAAGATGGGGCATTGTTTACTCCCACTGATGCCGGGATATTTTCCGGTACCCTCCCTGACCCCCAAAACCCCCAATGATACCAATGATGGGGTATAATTCCCACCAATGACACCAATGATGGGGCACAGTTCATCCCAATGATACCAAGAATGGGGCCCAATGACACCAATAATGGGGCACAATTTCTCCCAATGACAACATCGATGGAGCACTATTCCTCTCACTAACGCCAAAGATGGGGCATTGTTTACTCCCACTGATGCCGGGACATTTTCCAGTCTGGCCCCCCTAAAGTCTGTAGGACAGTAAACTGGCCCTTTGCTTAGAAAGTTTGAAGGCTCCTGCCTTAGAGGTTTCTGTGGGAATTAGGGCCAACCATCTCTGTAACCAACCTGGGGGGATACAACCTTATGGGTCTCTTTAGATCCGGGAAAAGGATGCCCCTCTTTAGCCAGCAAAAGAATAGCCTACAAATATGTAAGAAAGTTTGGTCCCAATGCTGGAGAAGTGGCAGACAGGCCCTAAGTTTCAAATTCTAAGGTAATGAAACAGGAACAAATATGTCTTTGGTGAAGAACCCCTTGGTAGGTGGTAGCTAGCCCCCAAAAGTCTCATCCTCATCCTCCCTGACCCCCGAAATGTGTTGGATATCTGTTTGGAAGGAACCTGTTTTAATAAAAATTAGAGTTGTACTTTGGGTTGGTGATCCATTCCTGTATCGATGTTGATGTTTAGATATTCTGCTGTGGAGAATTTTTTTTCTCCCATTGATACCAACGATGGGGCCCAATGACACCAATAATGGAGCACAATTTCTCCCAATGACACCATCGATGGGGCACTATTCCTCTCACTAACACCAAAGATGGGGCATTGTTTACTCCCACTGATGCCGGGATATTTTCCGGAACCCTCCCTGACCCCCGAAACGTGTTGGATATCTGTTTGGAAGGGACCTGTGTTAATAAAAATTACATTCAGACTTGTACTTTGGGTTGGTGATCCATTCCTTTATCGAGTCTATGGGGAACCTTTAGATATTCTGCTGGCTGTCATAAAGCTGTTGAGAATTTTTCTTTATCAGGTAGCGAGTGAATTTCAATAGGAAGTGAATAAAGGGATCTGTCAGCTCTTTACTCTGTGAAATTCCATCTATGAAAGCTCTTCTTTTTATGGAAATGTCACTTTCACCCATTCCCGTCTGACTTTTTTCTTTTTTTTTTTTTTTTTTTTTTTTGTGCGCCTTAAAAATTCAATGAAATGATAATGCTGCTGTAAGCAAATCTGGTTCCCTGTCAGCCGCCACGATGACATATCGTCAGTAATGATTATGAATTGGCAGCGACGGCGCTGGCGTTCCAAGATTCAGTGATAAAAATAAAGCAGGAGCGGTCCGTTTTTAGGATGAATAATTCATCGGATTAAACAGCCTCGGCTACTTTACTTAAATGTTTCATTAATAAATCAAAGAGGAGCTTCGATCCGGCCTTCTGGCAGCCCTGAATAAACTTGTATTTCTCCAGCGCTCAGCGGTATTTATGGATATGATGAAGAGGGAGCCGGACCAACAGACAGATCCACTGCCGAATTTACTGCAGGAAGTGCCGGAGATGGATGGAGAGAGGACGCAATCTCATGTGTATGAATGTCTGCAGTACCGGCTCCAAATAAATCTACCAATGATGACTTTCAACTGGAAACTTGTAAATCTGGCTACATTTTTGTAGCCTCCCTAGCGGTCTGATTATGTCCATATTTCTGTGCTCAAAGCGGTACTTTTTTTTTGCATGGAAATATGTACTTTTTTTATTGCAGGCCTGTATTTTTTAGGAATAACTCACTGAAATCTGTCTGAACAAGAGTCTAGTAAACATCCCGGGGATGATAAAATTTGAAATCATAAATTATAACTTAATAAATAATTATTTTATTATTATTATTATTATTATACAGTATTTTTAAAGCGCCAATAGTTTGCTCAGCGCTGTACATTACAAAGGGGGACAGAACATGTGACAGAACAATACCAATACAATGCAAAACATGAGGGGATCGAGGCCCTGATCTTTCGAGCTTACAATCTAGGAGAGAAATATTCATAAAAAATAATAATATAATAATAATAAATGTAATTCAATAATATAATCAAACCAAAAAACACTGAAATGTGAAATATAGCGCCAAGTTCACACATCGCTGAGCAAAGTCGCAGAATCGTTTTCAGTGTCTGATGATGAATTTCCCCCACGAATCATTATCACTCAATTCTGCAAGTGGTTCTGATTTACTATCGCTGTTCTCTAGCCGGTCTAAAACCGCTTTTGACCTAAAGGGATGCTTTTTGGACGCTTTTTGGACGCAGTCTGATTATGTCAGTATTTCTGTGCTCAAAGCAGTACTTTTTTTTGCATGGAAATATGTATTTTTTTATTGCAGGCCTGTAATTTTTAGGAATAACTCACTGAAATCTGTCTGAACAAGAGTCTAGTAAACATCCCGGGTATGATAAAACTTGAAACACGAAATCATAAATTATAATTTAATAAATAATCATAAAAAATAATAATATAATAATAATAAATGTAATTCAATAATGTAATCAAACCAATATCACTGAAATGTGAAATAGAGCGCCAAGTTCGCACATCGCTGAGCAAAGTCGCAGAATCGTTTTCAGTGTCTGATGAGGAATTTCCCCCACGAATCATTATCACTCAATTCTGCAAGTGGTTCTGATTTACTATCGCTGTTCTCTAGCCGGTCTAAAACCGCTTTTGACCTAAAGGGACGCTTTTTGGACGCCATGGACGTTTCTCAGTTTCCAGGCAGAAAGAACAGTAAAAATGCAGGCAGGGCGCCGGACAAAGCACTCGGGACAAAATGCATGTGAAATGGTTTGATACAGGAATGTTATACTATGTGATTTTAGTGTATTTAGTGAATGTCACTTTTTGTAATTTTCAAATTTGCCGCCAGTTCCGTCCCCCGTACGTCCCGGCGCTCGCAGGGGACGGAACCCAGAAGACAGATGCCGGCATCGGGCGGAGGACATTGCCGGGGACTCTGCAGGAGGGACATCGCGGGAGCGCAGGACAAGGTAAGTGCAGAAGAGATCCCCGAGCAACGCTGCAGTGTATTCCTGAGTGTAGCTCGGGGTTACCGCTTGTGGTGCTGAAACTTTACCCCGAGCTAGGGTAAAGAATGGTTGTCCTATAGTATTTCCTTTCACTCCTTCCCAACAGGTTGGGAAGGAGTGAAAGGAAATACTATAGGACAACCATTTTCTCTGTAAGGTTATGTAGGGAGGAAAGGGGAGGGGTAAAGGAGCTGGGCCAGCAGTGACGGTAGTTAGACACACCCAGAAGAGGAGAGAGTTATGATGCACAAGGAGGGAGGGGACTGTATTAGGCAAGTGACACCTCAAGAAGTAGTTAAGTTTGCAATCTCAGAAGCACATTGCAAGTGAATATAATATAATTTATGGAAAATTTAAGCATTTAAAATTCC